AGCAGTATGTAGGGTCCGAATGGCCTCCAAGTCACAGTCATGGAGTGAACTCAAATATATTCAGTATATCTCTAGTTCACCCTAACCACACACACTCTTCTTTTTAACGTCCTATGGAAAGCAAAAGCTACCACTTCACTGTCATTTGAAAACTGTTTACCATAGGGTAAACGGTTGGTGGTGGGGCAGAGGCGGGGCGGGGGCGCGGGGAGGAACTTGTTTAAAATATGAGAAAGAAATCGTTTCAGTGTAGAAGAACACTTTTCAATTCTTGACAGATTCACACTGCCGGTGACTGACACAATCTATTTTGTTTTTCATCTGCATCGAAGGGCACTCATCTCCATCCATTCCTCTGTGTCAGTGTGTGGGGTCCAGAACTATTCTTTGTGAGTGTTTGGACTGCTAATCTCTCTCGGGTTACCTCAACAGTCTCAGAGGCAGTTTGTGGCACCAAAGGGAAAATGGAGAAGTTGAGATGCAATTTTATCTCCCAATTGCACTTGATTAAATGGGGACTGTTCTAATCAAAAGTTTGAATCCTGGGGGAGTGTAATGTTGTTAACACGTTTGAGAACATTTGTGAAGAACAGGGTGGGAAAGCACTAAAGAGAAGACAAGGGAAGAATCAGGCAGGAAAATAATTGTAGTAAAGCTTATTAAGGCATAAAATTAGGTGAACAAATTGCCTCACAGATAGTGTTAAGCTCTTTGCTAGACTGGCAAAGGAAGTGGAAAGACAACTCTCTGAAAACATTATTTTTATTATTTTAATAATTTGTGTAGGAATCGTAGTAGCTGCAATCTGTTAGCCAGAAACAATTGCCAGCTGGTGTCATCGTGGAGTAGGCTGAATACAAACATGTTTTTCCTTTTTACCTGGAGAGCATTCAATTTTAGAAAGTTTCTATTTATTTTTGCCTGAATGTGAGGTCTGCCCTGGTAGATAAGGAAGTTTGTTTATTACATGATTTAAGAGCTTTGATTAGGTTTCTTACCAAGTTCCACAACTGTAATAGGGAGACCACACCAGGGACAGACTTGTGTTTATCCAATCAAAGCTACCCATCATTAAAAATGAATACCTGGGTACGTGCTTGAATTAGCTGTGTAATTGCCTTGAAACTATGGATTGTTTTCTTTGCAATTACTTCAAGGAAACAGTGGTACTCTGTTAACTACTGTACTAAAAGCAAAGCCCTGTCTCTTGGGATAATATTCTTCAAAAAACAATAAAAGTGCACCTAGCTTACTTATGGACAAGTACATGATGTGTGTGTGTGTGAGTGCACGTGTGCACGCGTGTGTGTGTGTGCATGAAGGTGCACACTTATGCACACAAGTGTGCATGTGATGGTACTGAGACATGAACTCAGAGCCCGGGCACCCTTCCTTTACATTGTCACTCAAAGCTGGTGCTCTACCACTTGAGCCACACCTCCACTTCCCACTCTTTGCTGAGTAACTGGAAATAAGTATCACAGGGACTTTTCCTACTTGGGCTGGTTGTTTGCAAACAGATCTTGGATCTCAGTCTCCTGAGGAGCTAAAACTACAGGTCTAGGCTCGGAACCCCCAGCTAACAAACACCTTTTTATTAGCAACCTGTGATGTTTGTTATATTTTCTTTTGATATTCCTCTGAATGACTTCTTTTAATAATGATATATCATTTGAAAATCGTTATTGACTTCGGTTTATCAGAAAATTTCTAGACTAGGTACCAAAACACTTTAAGATGTGAGTTGTTCACCAGCAGGAGAGAGAACATAATTTAATATTGTGTCTTCCTGTCTCCTGACTCACAAGGTCTCAAGAGGAAAGAGAGGAAGTTATGAGCTCTGAGGTTGAGGTTCATTGGATTTCTTCAGTGGTTTGAATGTATTTCAGAGATTTTAGTAGTTTACAATCCTGGTGTTGCATTCCCCCAAGCTTTCTTCATCTCTGACATGGGATGTTATGGAATGAAATAATGGAAACTGTTTTCTACTATGCAAATTATTACTCATTACCCACAAGTCTGCTACCCATTCAGGTAGCTAAGAAGGTTCTCTTTGTCCATGTGATTTATATCAAGCAATTTTGCACAAAGCAAGACACTTTTCACCTGGGACAATATGGTTAGCAACAAGGATTTTTTAAAACCTAAACTAAGGTACATATTTCCTTGAAAAAATAAGTTGTACCATGAACAGGATACATTTAGAAAATAATTATTGGTTTTTCTTGGGTTCTTGTTCTATCAGTGTCTTGCTTTGGTGTGTAGTGTGATGTCATTAATAGTATTTTAAACTTAAAATGAGAATTAAAATGAAATAAGCTTTCAAGAAACTATTTCCAGAATTGGAGGTGTGGCTCAAGTGGTAGAGCACCAGCCTTGAGTGAAAAGCCAAGTGAAAACATGAGGCCCTGAGTTCAATCCCCAGTACTTGAACACATACACACACACACACACACACACACACACACACACCAAACAAACAAACAAACAAACAAACAAAGAGAAGATGATTCATCTCACTTAACATCTTCCTTATGAATGTAGGCTCCAGTGGTATCAGGAAGAGCCTGGGTTGTGATTACCCATAGAAGGAAAAGCAGAAAAGGAAGCAGAAGAGGGAAGCTTTGTTGAGAAGAATTGCACCTGTTTTATATCAATAAAAATAACCTCCCACGGACAAGCTTCAGCATCCTTAAAAAAAATAACTGATGGCAGAGACCAGCACAATGTCTCAGCAAGAAACAAGTGAATGCTGACAAAGGCCAGGTGGAAAAGCAGGTTGCTGTGAAGGTGTGCTGTGCTGTCAGTGGCAGTTGTAGCCACTGCGGCTGGCAGAGCCAAGGATGGACACCTTCACCTGGACTCTGAATCACGCTACATTGTCTCCAACTCCCCCACACGGCCACTCTCCACTTGGAAAGCAGGCCTAGATAGTGTGGTGGGGGCAGCTACTCCACTTTGGATGGCGTATATGTTCAGTATCTAAAACCCAGAAGTTGGTTTTTAAGCAAAGATTTGATTCTGGGATAGATGCAAAGTCTAAACGCTTGAAAAATAAAAGGTGTGACATCTGTACACACAAAAAAGGTCTCGTAAAACATGACGCTATTATGTATTTCTTATGTCTCACCTGGAGAGACAAGTATTTATTCTCTTTCAGTGTTGGGTGGGAAAGAATGTGTTTAGGGGATGATCCCTAAACTCTTTCCATGTCCTATATGATCCTGGGTTGGGACTGCAAGAAACGAAGTGGTCACCGCACACAGTGGGCCTTTCCTGGATGCTGCTCGAATGAAGTTGTAGTTTTTGGACACACCAAGTTTGTGGGTAAGGTGCACACGGGAATGAGGATTGAGCAGCATTCAGAATGTCCGGCGTCTCCCTTGTGGAGAAGGGACCAAGCTAACCACGTTCGTGGTGGTCTTCCAGCCACTGAAGGTGTGCTTCCTGTAAAGGCCAGCCAGGTTTGTGCCCTCACTGCTACTGGAGAAAGCAGCTGATTTAAAGAGAGCTGGACCCCAGCCAGCGACAGCCGCCCTCCCTCCCCACATTTAGCTTTCTCCCCC